TTGATTAGCAGTTTATTGTCTAAAGGAGACATGGGAGAAGGGCAGCATCTCATTGCACAGCTTCAAATTCCCAATTCAGGAGCAGAGATGCTTTAGTTTCATAGGAACACAGGCCAGAATAGTTCTGTTCACCTGCAGTAGCTTAAAATGAATTTAAAAAAAATATATATATATTAAAATTTAAAATTTAAAGAAGAACAGATGATTATTTATGCTGGGTCATTTGTCTTTGGAGCAAATACCTGTGTGTACATTCCCAAAAATCTTGGAACACCGTGAGCAGCTTTTGATTCCAGGAGTCACTGGGCTGCAGCACAACCCGTGCAGCACCTGAGGAGGGGGAGCTGCAGCACAGATTGTGTTTCTCTGCTCTGAGGACTGGCACTGGGATCTAAATCTCTGCTCAACCCACTCATTTCCACCCCATTCCTTCTGTCCCCTCCAGATCCTGACAGCAGGCTGGGATGAACTCGAGTGCCACCGGGTCTTTAACTTCCTCTGGGAGCTGAGCAGCTTGGCCAGGAAAGTGCAGACAGTTGTCAGCAGCAGAGCAGGTAAATCACAGCAGCCAAGAGGCCTGAAGGACCAAAATGTGCCAGCACAGGGAAGGCAGGAAATGGGTCTGGATTCCTGGATTTGAGAGGGGTTTGGCTCAGCTCAGCCTTGTGGCACCAATCGGTTCCTGACCCTCATGGACGTTCTGTTGGCTCTCTGGGCATCCTAAAGTGGGTTCTTGGCCTTCACATCAATGAGTTTTTCTTCACCAAAACCAAAGCTAAGTGCTCCTGTAGTGAGGAGAGTTGTCTTGAGAGGCCTTTAGGGTTTCCTGAATCGTTCCATCACCAGCCCAAAGCACAGGTTGTGCCTCTACATCGACAGCAAAAGCAGGGATTTGAATCTTTCCCGCTCTCCACCAGCGAAACCAACGGGAAAAGAACCAGTTTGGGAATAAAATGCTGCAGTAAAAAGTGAGGTTTGATATTTCTGAACCCCAACACTGACGTGGCACAGGCCTCTCAAGAAACCCAGCACGGAACAGGGAATTTCTGTGGAACACTTCACCCACAGCCATGCCAAGCTTCCTCCTGCTGCCCCTATTTATTGCCCTCTTTGATTTCCTATAAAAAAGTGATGGTTTTTATTGATCAAGGCTTCACAGATTTGCCACATCTCCCCCCTTCTCCCCCAGGCAGTGCCAGGAAGCTGGAGCTGAGGATCAGGCTGTACTGCAGGAGGGTCCTGCTCAACCACTGGATCCACAGGAGCGACTCTGCCTTTTGGCTCACCCGGATTTTGAAGCCCTGGCCCATCGTGAACCAGGCCAGGCTGCTCTACATCATCTTTGGGCCCGTGTCCTCTCTGGATGGTGAGGAGCTGGGGGGGCTTAGTGGTCAAAGTTTGGGGCCCTGAGAAGGAGATTCCCTTGCAGGACGCAGCAGAAACCCAAATTTTTATGCAAATAAAATGTAATTGTATTAGAATCAAAGAATAGTTTGTGTTGGAAGGGGCCTCAAAGCTCATCCAGTGCCACCCCCTGCCATGGGCAGGGACACCTTCCACTGTCCCAGGTTGCTCCAACCTGGCCTTGGACACTTCCAGGGATCCAGGGGCAGCCACAGCTTCTCTGGGCAACCTGTGCCAGGGCCTCCCCACCCTCACAGGGAAGGAATTTCTTCCCAATATCCCATCTAACTCTGCCCTCTGGCAGTTTTAAGCCATTGAAACAATTGTGTTGCCAAGGAAAAAGGTTCTGCTCAACCAGACATCACTGTCATACATAAAATATATCAATTTTTTATATATATATATATATACACACACATACATATATTTCTGAGTTCAAATTCAAGTGAAGGAATTAAATGACACCTCTGTCCCCCTCTTCTCCCCTGCTTGGGGCAGAGGCAGCTCAAATCCACCTCAAAGCATCACCCCTCTCCCTGAGGGAAAACCTGTTGCCTCCCTTAATTATTAACCCTGGCTTTCTTTACATTTGACTCACTGCAACTCCCACTGTCCCTGCTAAAAAGTGACAGAGGGACAACAATGTGGCTGTCACAGAGCTTGAGCTGTGTTACCTGGATTCCCCTGCTCAGTTCAGCAACTCCCTTGTTGGAAAAAAACCCCATCACTTACGGGCAGTTGTGATTAATGTCTCGCTCAGGACACGTGGTGTGGCAGAAAATGATAGAAGGACCAACAGATGAGAGCAGCCTGAAGGGTTTGGCTGAAGCAATTAAGCTGCTGTATGGCACAGAAGCCAAGGAATGGACAGCAGATGATGTTATCAGCCTGGTGGATGAGCTGGCAGGTGTGTTTTTGGCCTCTGTCATTAATCCACAGGATTATGTATCCTCCCAATCCAGCTCGGGGGGTGTTTCAGACACAAAATTCCTCCCAGCAGCAGCTCTGGCCTGGCTGGAAAAGCCCTCACCCCGGGAATGCAGGCAGGAGGTGGGATGAGGAAACCCCAGGGTCACACTCAAGCTGCCTTTTCCCCTTGGGAAATCATTTAAGGATCCACACAGACCTTTAAAACTCCAGCCTTGCCTCGAATCATTCGGGAAGAATTGTCCAAGCTGAAAACATGGTGTGTGTTCAACCCACAATTAACAGCTCCACTGACAGCTCTGGGGTGAGGTTATCACCAATTAGAGTGAGGAGCTGGTAGGAGCTGCCTGTGGGATTTTGCTGCTCCTCTTTTGGGTCAAAGATGACTAAAATCTCCCCCCCCCCCCTCTCTCCCCCCCCCCCCCCCTCTCTCTCTCTTCCACCACCAAGTTGTTCCCCAGGAATGGCTCATGGAGAACAACGCTCGGCTCCTCCTCCTGAGTGGGAACAACATCTGCTTCACCTTCATGGCCAGCAAGGCTGTGAATGGCAGGGCTGTGGAGCTGGCCAGGCTCGTGGTCTTCATGGCTTTGGTGAGTACAGCTGAGCTGAGGGAGTCTCTCTACCCCCCAAATTTGCTGTCTCAGACTTTCCCCCTCTGCTCCCACACACAGCAAAAATCTGGGTGCTCTTCCAGGGATGTCCAGCACATCCCTGGAAGCTGGCAAGGCCATCTTTGAGGGGAAATACCACCAGCAAAAGGCTGAGGGGTCCCTTCATGCCCACAAGAACAACCTCTGTGTCCTCCTGACACCTCCCTAATTCTCCAGGCCTGGGAACAACTGCTGCAGAATCAACATCTAATGCTAAGATTTGATCTTGCCTCAGATTTGTGGTGCATTTTTGACCTTTCCCGTTGCCCCTCAGGTGTGTGAGAAGGACCTTTACTGCATGGACTGGGTGGTGAAAATGATGCAGAAGGTCTGCAGGGTTTTCAGCACCCCCTGGGAGAGAAACAACTTCCTGCAGTGCCTGGAGAACACCTTTGCCCACATGCTCATGGACATGCTGCAGGCAGTGCTGGCTGGTAAGACTGGTCCTCTGGGCCTGGAGCAGCTCCTGGATCAGGAGCTGGGGCTGACCATGGCATCCAGGAACACTCTGCCCTTCCCTCCCTCACCAGGCAGAGCAATCCTGGAGAGCCTGAAGGGTTTTGGTGACATAAAAACACAGAATCATTGAATTCCTTAAAGCTCCTCCAGTCCCACCCCTGGCCATGGGAAGGGACACCTTCCACTAGCCCAGGTTGCTCCAAGCTGGCCTGGAACACTTCCAGGGATCCAGGGGCAGCCACAGCTTCTCTGGGCAACACAAATAATCAATCAAGTGCCATAATTGGGCAGAAACCTTCATTTTAACAGGATTCCTGGTGCCAGGGGTGGTGCCACCAGCAGTGTCCTAAACCCCATCCCAGCAGAGCCCTGGGCCCGAGGTCCCTTTGGGCTGTGCCTGCTCAGCTCTGACAGGTTTTTGTCCCAACACACAGTTGTTCTTGTCTGCCTTTGGCCAGGCTGGGGAAGGAATTTTGGAGAGAGTCTCCTGTGTCCCTCCCCAGCTGTCCTGGCACCAGGATCATGAATCACAGCACAAAGCTGAGGTGAAGCTGCTGCCTCACCCTGCTGAGGGTACCGAGGGACACCCCCCCTGAGGGATTAACTCACTGATTTGGTTCCACTAACCCTGTTCCATGGTTTCCATGGTTTCCTTTACCCTGCCAGGGGGGCACGATGAGGAGGACAACAGCTTCCTGAATTTATTCCACCTCGTGAACGCACAGGCGAACTTCCACAGGGAAATCCTGTTCCTGGCCATGAGGAGCAGCCCCAACACCACCTGAGTTCTGCAGACTCTTGCTCCTGGGTTTTGTTTTGAACATTTGCATTTCTTCACCTCCCATTCCAGCTGGAGTGGCAGAAGTTGGGACCATCCATGTCAGTCCAGCTGAAGGAGCTCCAGGAGCTTTTGGGGGCTCCATCCTGGAGTTCCTCGAGCTCTGCTTCTCCAGGGAAGCAGCCCTGGGGCCTCTCCCTCGGGAGCATGAACTGCATTCTTTTCCCACTGTGCATGTTTGCACACACAATAAAAATGACATGGTTTCCATACTCAGACACCAACTGAGGAATGTTATCTTAGTTCAGAACCCAAAACATTTTGATCTTTAAAATGTGTTTTCTCTCGGGAATCCGAGAAAAAAAAGAGATGGATGGGATCAGAGGGGCACAGCTACATTTTTCCAGCGTGCCAGGGCCTCTCTCACTGACTCAGAGGTTCTGTGGCAGAAATATTCCCGAGTTTGGATGCTCAGCCACAGCCAGAGATGATTCCTGAAAGCAGTTTGACCAAGCAAGGCATTTTTTCCCCCCTCAACCTCCAGGTTTTCATAAAACAGAAGGAACTCCCAAACCCCTCCCCCTGCCCCAGGTAACGACTGTTGAAGTGTTTTGGCCTCCACAGGACTTTGCCAAGTTGAAGACAACCCGTTAAATGCACATTAAATTAAGTCGCTGGTTCATTAAATGTCTAAATGTTTCCTGCTTTAGAAAGGGGTTGGATTTTCTGCTCTGTTGCCTTCAAAACAAAAGCACGTGATGGGAATAAAAAGCACTTACTTTCCGGGGGCTGTTTCCAACGGGGCTGTTTCCTTCTGGTCGTTAAAGAGCCGCTTTCTCCGCCCCGATAATCCCTTCCCGAATGTTTCCGTCTTCCTTCGGGACCAGGGTTTGGCTGGAAGGGGAAGCCACGTTCGGCTCTGGAAGCGTCAGAACAGCTGAAGTGGGAGCGATTTATCTCAGCTGCCCCCACCTGATTCCGCCGGGATGATTTGCTCGGAAGTTTGTTAGGAATTCTCTTGCGTTTGTTGAGTACACAATTCCAGGCGGGATCCTCGCAGGTGCCGGCAGATGGCAGAGGTGAAACCTTCCCAGCCGGAAAACCCTGGGAACGCCCCTTTTCCCTCGCTCTTTGAAGGTGATTTTTTGGGAACACGCTGCAGCTCCGCGTGATTTCGGAGGGGAGAGAAACCCCGGCCTCTCGTTTCTGCTCGGAGGAACCGAACGTGTCCGGACTGATCCCCACGAGGAGAAAACAGACCCGGGGCGAGAACAGCGACGGGAAAACGCAGCCAAGGAGCCGCCGGGGCGCGATTCTCCGGGTCCTTGGCTCTGCCTCCCTTTATCCTCGGGAATTGCTCCCCATAAATAATCCCGGCGGATGGAAGGCAGCGGGATGGAGCAGAGCCCGGGCCCATTGTGAGCCTCGTCCCCCCGCCAGCCCCTGGGTCGTCTCCCGGGCCGGGGACACCGGGGCCGTGAATTCCAGCCCGGCACAAGGGCCGGCATTGTGCGAGTGCGGCCACACGGGGAAAAAGGGAGCCCTTTGATTCCCTGGCAGCCGAGGGATCATCGGAGGGATGAAATGCCAGCGCTGCCGGCACGAGCAGCGGATCCTCCGGCCGTGCCAGCTGGATGCGGCTGCCCGCCGGGAATGGTTGATGGCATTATTAATTGTTAGGGGCTGCACAAGAGCCCAGAGAGCGTCTGGCGTCGGTTTTTGCAACATTCCCATCAAACAACGGCTCTCCCTCCCGAAGGATCGAAGCTCAAACCCCTCCCACTGATATTTGGGACCTGCAGGGTCAAGAGCAGGACTTGGATGATCCTGGTGGGTCCCTTCCCACTCAGCCTGTTCTGGGGTTTTATTTTACTTCCCCAAGTTTCCCAGCTTGGAATAGGACACCCCCCCCTTGCAGCCTCTTTTTCCAGCGTCCCCCTGGATCAGCTCTCCCAGTTAAACATCGAGTGGGGCCCGGGGAGGAACCTCGGCAGCACCAGAGGGGCTGGGACGGGGATCCCTGAGAGAACTGAGAGAACTCTGCTTTTCCTTCTGCTGCCAATTTTTACCTGCTGCTGGGGAGGAGGTGGACAAAAGCTGCATCCTGAGCCCCGGAGCAGCACCTCCCTCTGCCCCGGAGCTGGGGCCGTTTGTCCCTCTGCAAACCCCGCTCCTGCCTCGGGCTCCGGCCCCTTTCCCAACCCCGCAGCTGCTGGGCTGGGTCCCTGCCCCTTCCAGCCGGGAGCTGGCGGGTGTGGGGCGGGAGAAGGGCCCGTTCCGCATCGCTGGAGGGTTTGTAAGGGGAGAGGAGCCCTCGGAGCCAGAGACGAGGATTGTTCCTGCCTTCACACTCAGCTGAGCTCCCATTCCACGCATTCCTCCTCTGCTCGCGGCAGATGTTGGCAGCGGGCGCAGCCTCGGGAGGGGAGGTTATTGAGAACATGACTTAACGCCTGAAGAAATTCCTCTCGGAATATTCCAGGCTCCTGATTTCCGGCTGTATTTGGGGCTGGGGGGAAGGGGAGGGAGCGCCCTGGGCCAACAACGGGGGATTTTCGGGAGCAAAACCACCCGGCTTCGGGTTCCTCTCAGGAGTTTTACTGACAGGAAATTGCAGTGTCAAGTACTCAGCCGGCAGCGCCGGCCACATCCAGCATTCCCAGGCTCTGAAATCCCTCTTTTTTTCTGGGAAAGTCACACCAGATTCCAGCCCCCTGCTCTCCCTGAGTCCTGTTCTCTCCCACCCACTTGTGTGGGGATTCCGTGGTCGACTAAAGGGACACGAGGAGCTTTTCCCATTGTGGATATTTCAGGTGTTTGTGGCTTAAAAAAAAAAAATCTCCCCAGGAGACAGCAGGCATAAGAAAATTTTGCCTTCTGGGAGGGTGAAACTTTGATTCATTGCACGTGTGTGGCTGTGTGAGGGCAGGGATTGATGAAGGGTTTCATCAAAGGACAGGAAAAATCCCCCAAATTCCTCTCCAGGCCTCTCAAAAAAAAAAGGGGGGGGAAATGAGGCCCTGAATTGTTCTTTCCATCCCACAGAAATTTCCATCGTGTTAAAAATGTTCCTTTTTCTATACTGAGATTAACCAGGACCTCCAGGAGCTCCCCCAAAACCACAGAGGGACCGGGGGGGGGGGTCAGCACAGACACTTGGGCACCATCCAGGCAGGGAAGAGCCTGGTTGAGACCCTCCCCACCTGGATCAGGGACCCCTCCCCAGGGGCTGCCGCTCGTGCTGGGGGACACGGAGGTGTCTCATCCCGGTTTTCCAATCTCTCACCATTCCCAGGGCTCCGGGATCTCTCCACAGACGCTGGATTTGCCCCGGGGAGCCACGTGCCCCCCATCCCCGGGGATGCAGGGGGTGCATTCCAGGATTCAACACCAGCAGCCACGTCCCCTCTCCCGTGTCATTCCTCTTTATTCCGTCTCATCCTACTTTTTTTTTTCATTAAAAATAGAAGTGCTCTCCTAAAATGAAACCCAGATGACCGACCTCGGACGGGCTCATCCCAAGGGGGGGGGCAGGACCCTTCCCATACCCCCGGGACAGCCCCGGTCCCGGCAGGGGGGTGTCCCCTCGCAGCCCCCTCCCCATTCCACCCCTCCCCGGCCCCTCCGTGCTCCGCGCTGGGCTCGCAGGGGTTAACGCCCTTCCAGAAGGCTCCGAGGGACACGGACCAGGCAGAGGCTGTGGAAGAGAAAGGACAGGCTGGTCTGAGCTGGGCCTGGAGCCCTGGAGCCCTGGGAGACACCCAGGGAGACACCTGGGAGACACCGGGATGGTGGAGGCGCCGGGATGTGGGAGCACAAGGAGCAGCCCCAGCCCCCCCTGAGCGCCGGGGAACCCCCCCTTTGCCTCCCCGGCGATGACGCAGCCGGGATCCCTCCTCGCTGCTTCGTTCCTCTCCCCCTCGGGAACAAAAGCCGGGAGCTCGTGCTGCTCGCAGCGGCTTTTCCAGGTGGGAAAGGGGCCGGTGAATCCCGCAGGGAGAAACCAGCGGCCGCACAATGGCCGGGGACGGGTGGCCTGGTTTATAAAATCACCCCCTCCCCGTGCCCTCCTTCCAGCCCAGGCAGCCGAAGACAACGGAATTAACCCCCAACCCGACCCCTCTCCCCCTTCCCCGAGCTCGTTCCTCCCCGGGAATTGGGACAAGGAGCTCACCTGGATGGCGCTCGGGCTGCGGGGCTGGTGCTGAGCCGCATCTCCCCCCCCCCGGCGCCTCCCTAGAGCATGTAAATGATGTAGGAGAGGATCACGAGGCCGATGATGGCGAAGAACATCAGGATGAAAATGTCCAGCATGGTGAGGGAGGAGGCGCTGGGCCGGGGAGGAGGTGTCGGGAAGGGGCTGCCCGGGCTCCCTGCGGTGGCTCAGACAGGGATTCTGGGATCCAGCTGCTCCCTCCCCTCCCAGCCCAGCACGGCTCGCTCAGGATGGAGAGATGATGCCGGAGCTGATGGAGCCGCTTTCCAGCAGGGAAATAAAGGAATAAACGCCGGCGGGCAGACCCAGCTCAGCCCTGGGGGCCCGATGCCGGCCCTGCCTGGGAAGTTGTTGCTCAGTCCCTGCTCCTTCCTTCCCGAACTTCCCAGTTCCCGGGGGGTGCTCGCTGTGAGGTGAGCCCCGTTTGCAGCTGGGAACAGGCCCATCCCATGGAGAAGGAAGGAAAATTGGCCCTGGCAAAGGCACACCAGGACTGCTCCGAACTCACCTCCCAGCCTGGTGCTCCTGGGGTGGTTCCCCCTCCTCTGCCTTCGGTGCCACACACACGGAGCTGCTTTATTTCCCTTGGGTTTTTTGGCTGGTGCTGTTCCCAAATAACACCTTCCTCCTCCACACACCTTCCCGATTTTTTTTTTTTCCCCACTGCTAAACACTGCAGCTGCTGAAAATCCCACCTGGAGAGGCTGAATTCCCAGGAATTCTCCGTGGAACCAGGCGGCAGCAGGGATGAGCCGAGGAGCTGCATCCCAGGTGGATCCCCAGGGATGCCAGCGCTTCCCACTCCCAGGGCAGCCAGGCCAGATGCTGACCCAGCTCTGGCAGCCTCCCTTAATCCCAAAATCCCCACCCTGCCCCAGGGAAGCAGGAAAAGCGACCGCAGCCAAAGGCAGCACAATCAGCAGGTAAAAATTATACTTTTATTTTTTTTCATCCGAGTTAAACCGGGAAGAGGACGGGGTTGGATTGTTCCACTCGATGGTTTGGGACAAAAAAAAAGGCCAAATCACATGTTTTACTGGTGGGTGCTCAGGCCCACGGGGAAGGAGGACACGAGGACAAACCCCAATCAAGCGACGGATCCCGAAGAAAACACGTTCTAAGCTCAGCACTGAGACGCAACCGGGGAAGCTGGGGATGGACAAGGGCTATTTTACATGTGATGAGAAGCAATTCAGCTTTTCTCATTTTTCCTTTTCCTTTCTTTCTTTCTTCCTTTTTTTCTTTTTTTTTTTTTTTACTATTTTATTTATTCATTTATTTTTTTTTTTTAAATACAGGTTTAGGTGCTTTTCGGCTATGAAAAAAAGGCAAAAAAGTGCATAAGTTGAGAGAAAAGGCAAGAAATGAAGCAGTAAGAGGTTTGTTTTCCCACGGCGGGGGGGGGGGAGAAGGGGCCAGGGAAGGGTGGGGGGGAGGATTAGGGACAATGGTCTCAAGGTAGCATTAAAAAAAGGTCTGTATCCCAAAACGGAATTGCCTGTGTTATTTGGTCCATTAAAAAACGGTTTATTCACATTGATACTCCCCCCCTCCCCCATTCCCAGACAAGAACGTGATTAAGAAGAGGATTGGCAGAGGGATGTGGGTCCCCCCTGCCCGGCCGCCCCCTCCCTGCTCTTGTGCTCACTTGTTTTAGCACCAAAATCCCAGACAGCCCCTCCTGGGAGCCCAAAAATCCCTGGCACTGTCCCCCATCCCATCGCAGCCGGCTGGGGAAGGAGCCAGGAGTCCCTTTCCCTGGCTCAGGCCCTCCCAGGGGGTCTCTACCCCGCCAGGGACCCCCTCCTTGCTCCAGCAGCCCCTGATCCCAGTCATCCCAGTCATCCCAATCCCAGCACCATCCATGATCCAGCCCCTGTGCTCTGAAGCAGGAAGCAAGGACGTGTCCCCAGGGACGTGTCCCCAAACAGGGCCAGGGAATGTCTCAACTCGGCCGCTTTGGTCCCTGTATTCCCTCTTTTCCTTTGGGAACAGCTTCCAGGTCCCCCTGGAAGCATCCTGGTGCAGCCCAGCAAGGGGACACCACTGTCCCCTCATCCTGCTCCTGTGACCCAGGAGAGGAGTGTCCCACTCCTCCCTCCTCACACAGGCTTCCAGTTATCCCGACCCCGACCTGCTCCGGCCCCTTGGGAGCCCAGAGGAGAAGGGGACGGGGATGTGCCTTGAGATTTTGGTCCATGACATGATTCCAAGTCAGAGGTGGTCCCAAAAGCTGCCACCATGGCTGGGAATGAGGTGCAGGGTGGCTCAGGGTGGCTCAGGGTGGCTCAGGGTGCTGAGTCACTCCAGAGCAGGGGGCTGGAGGGGGACACTCACCCGGGTCTGTCCCAGCGTGGTGCCACAGGGGGAGGATCCTTCACACCCGGCTCAGAGGAGGCACAGGGATAGGGGCTGATCCTGCTGGCTCCCCACACCATCCTCCCAGCAGGTGGGGGGGGCTCAGGAGGGTCCCAAAAACCCGGCGGCAGCAGCGAGAGAAAAGCAGGGAGGTTCTGGGTGAATTTGGGGAGCGGCCACTGCTGCGAGGAAGAGGCTTCCAGGGGACACCCAGACCCCGGTCGGGGGGAGCTGGAGCTGCAGGGGGGCTCAGCCCAGCTCCAGACCTGGAGCCAGAGCAACCCCACAGCTGCTCCTTCACCCAGGGGAATCGGGGAGGTGGAAGGGGGCAGCCGGAGCCCGAGGCAGGAGCACCCAGAGCCACCCCCAGGGCTGCCCGGAGCGGCCGCTGGGGATCCCCAGGACAAAGGCTTTGTTTGAGATTCTAACTGCGAACGTTTTCCTGTTTCGAGGACTGAAGGGAGCAAAGATCGAACGGGAACTGCGCGGAAGGGCCGGGAGGAGCAGTGGGATGGGCCAGAGCCGGGGAGGGGCAGGCGGAGGCTTCCAGCCCATCCCTGCAGCCCAGGGCACCCTGGGGATGAGCATCCCCGAGCTCACCCGCACGGGCACCTCCGCCCAGCCCTGCCAGGGCGGGGGGAATTTGGTCCTAACACGATCTCCCGCTCTCTTTTCTGGGATCGCGGCAACTCCGGCTGCTCCCCCCCCGGCCAGGAAAGGCCAGGAAAGGAGGGAGCCCCAGGGAGCCGCGGCCCCTCGTGTGCCCCCCCTGCACACAGTCCCTCCGTCCCCACAGGGCCACAACAACGGAGCTGAACGGGTGGGAGAACCCGGAGGACACACGGACACGGGAGAGCCGGGACGTCCGGAGGCACCGGAGCACACGGAGCGGGGACGCTGGGGCAGAGGGGCTCACACACACACACACAGAGGGGGGGGACAGCCCCGGGCTGGGGGCTGGGCTGGACCCCCTTTCCTCCCCTCCCCCGAGGGCTCAGATGGCCTCCACGTAGTTGGCGGGCAGCATTCCCGTGTCCCCCGTGCGCTCCACGGTGCCGTACATCCACCCGTCGTCGATCTGCTGCACGTTGATGATGGTGTCGCCGTCCTGGAAGGAAACCTCGTCCTCGTCCGCAGCGTTGTAGTCGTAGACGGCGCGGAAACGCTTCTGTGGGGACACAGGGGGGCGGTGGCAGAGCCTCCTCTGGTGCCCTGCCCCGTCCTCAGGGTGTGCCCGATCCCGATCCCGATGCCGGGGGTTATCCGGGATATCTCGGCCCCTTCCCAAGAGCTCCCCCCCTGGCGCAGGAATGGGCAGCAGGCAGAGATCTGGGAGGTTCAACTTTGGACACAACAACCCCCCTGCAGGGGGGACAGAAAGGGAGCTGGGGGTGCTGGTGACAGCAGCTGGACGCGAGCCAGGGGTGCCCGGGTGGCCAAGGAGCCAATGGATCCTGGCCTGGATCGGGAATAGCTCGGCCCAGCAGGAGCAGGGAGGGGATTCTGCCCCTGTGCTTGGCACCCCTCGAGTGCTGTGCCCAGCTCTGGCCCCTCAGCTCGGGAAGGACATGGAGGGGCTGGAGCGTGTCCAGAGAAGGGTCTGGAGCACAAATCCTGTGAGGAGCAGCTGAGGGAGCTGGGGGGGCTCAGCCTGGAGAAAGGGAGGCTCAGGGGGGACCTTCTCACTCTCTACAACTCCCTGACAGGAGCAGGGAGCCAGGGGGGGATCAGGCTCTGCTCCCAGGGAACCAGAACTAGGACAAGAGGATCTTAAACCGTCCTAGGGGAGGTTTAGGGTGGACATTGGGGAAGAAGTTCTTCACAGAGGGAGTGACTGGGATTGGAATGGGACACTGGGCATTGGAATGGGCTGCCCAGGGGGGTGGTGGGGTCACCAATCCCTGGAGGTGTTCAAGCAGAGCCTGGATGTGGCGTCAGTGCCACGCTCTGGGTGACAGGGTGGGGTCACAGGTTGGACTGGGCGATCTCAGAGCTCTTTTCCAACCCGGCTGATTCTGTGACTCTGTGACTCAGAGCGAAACCCCCCCAGGGGGTGGGAAGCAGGGGGCTGGTGCTGGGGGGCTGCTCTGGGCTGTACTCACCCCCCCTGCAGACGGGACACTGCGCTGTGTCGAGGCCGGAGCCGCCGGCTCCTTGTATCCATAGGATTGGGACGGCGGCTGCTGCTGCTGGAACACTGCGGGGGAAAGGACGTGAGGTGGGATATGGGGGGGGGCACAGCAAAGCCCCTCACAAAGCCCTGGCTGCCCCCCCCGGGCCTCACCTGGGTTGGTGGGCTGGACGTGGTGGGACGGCTGGTGCTGCTGCTCGGCGGGTCTCCAGTACCCTCCGGAGCTCTCCTGGGAATTCCTGCGCTCCGGCTCCAAACCCTCGCTGGGGCTCGGGCCCATCCTGCTCCGCTCGAACTCTTCGTGGTATTTGATCTGCAGAGGGGGTGGCAGAGGAGGGAGAGGTCAGGGCTCACCCAGCCTGGCCCTGGCAGCAGCTCCTTGGGTGCCAGGAACAGCTTCTCCCACTGAACAGGCAATGGGATGAGAGGAAACGGCCTCAAATTGGGCCACGGGAGGTTTAAATCAGATATTAGGGGAAATTTCTTCGTGGGAAGAAACTGGAACAGGAGTCACCAGCCCTGGAAGTGCTAAAAACATGTGGATGTGGCACTTGGGGACAGGGTTTAGGGGTGACATGGCAGTGCTGGTTAATGGTTGGACTCCACGAGCTTTGAGGGTTTTTCCAGCCTGAATGAGTCTATTATTCTCTGAGCCTTCATCTCATCCCAGCTCATTCCTTTCTGAGACCAAGGATTCATCATCAGCCACTCCCACCCTCCCTGGCAGTCCCAGGGGGGTTTCTTCCCCCACCCCCCCCCAGAGCACAGGGACACTTGCTCAGGTTTGTGGCACTGAAAGGAGGAGGTTCCAGTGTCCTACGGGTGGGATATATGGAAATTTTTCAGGATGAGATGCAAGACCAGGCTCCCAATCCACAGGAACACGGAGCAAAAGCCCCCTTGGGAATCCCCCACTGCAGACACTGAGCTTGGTGGGCAACCCCCCCATCCCACAGCCAGGGACAGGGGGGACCCAAGGCAGGCAGGAGGGAAGGGTTAACCCAGCCACGGGGGCACCAGTGTAAAAATTAACCCCCCCTGGTGTTAATGAATGCATTCCCAGCGGGAAGCACCTGGAGCCTGTTCATCTGCTGGTTAAACTGTGATTTCCTGAAGGGCACCACAGCAGGAGCCTGGAGCAGAGCCACCCTTCTGGGGGGGAGGAAAAAGGCCTGGAGGGGAGCACCCCACTCCTCTGGATGGTGTGGAGACCCCGGTGAAGCTGGGGACAGCCTCAGGAACAGCCTCAGGAACAGCCTCAGGAACAGCCTCAGGAACAGGGACAGCCTCCAGGATGGGCACAGCTCCATTCCCAGGAGGGTTTCCCCACCTCCACTGGGGCATGGCCAT